CACATGTGCTAATGGAGGCTTACACACACACACACACACACACAAAGCCCCGAGTAACTGTCAATAACAGCAGGACAGAACAATGGCATGATGGGGATGATGATGGGTATTAAAGAGGTTAACACACACACACCAGTGGAAACAAACAATATCCTTCAGGAAACTTTCCAGTTAATACTGACATAACTTCACCAGTCAGACACACACACTGCAGAAAGCCTGTTCCCAAGTGTGTGTGTGTGTGTGTGTGTGTGTGTTAGCAGAGAGACGGAGAGCCTCAGGCAATCTAGTGCAGACGTCTGCGGAGAATGACACACACAGATGCACACTCTCATTAGAAGATTAGCTGAACTCATTAGTGTTTGGAGGTTTTCCACGGATACACACACACACACACACACACACACACACACACACAATAATTCCCCACTTTAGCTGGAACAGTAAATCAGAGCAGGTTGAATTTCGCAGCTGCCTCGGCTGGACGAACTTAAAACAATCCGATGTGCGTCAAACTCCCAATAAATGTGTGAGTGTGTGAGAGAGTGTATGTGAGTGTTTGCTGAGTGGATACAAATATGAAACACCTGCTGGTGAAGAAGAGACGCATTTATACACACCTTTAAATACAGTCGGAGACAGAAACTGTGAAAGTCTTCAGATCTGCGCTAGGAAAATCTGGAGTAAATCATGCAGCGACTCTCATTACAACCGTTTCACTCCACACACACATTCATCTGAGAACACACACACACACACACACACATGAGAAACACAGACATCTCTTACCACGGAAACTTCAGGACTAAAACTCAATGACTAAACATACTGTAGAATCAAAGAGAGAGAAATTACTGAGTTAGAGTTTGATTTCTGTGACACACACACACACACACACACACACACACAGTCACACACACACACCTGGAGCTTTAAACGAAAATGAATATCTAGTGATATATCATCAACTTACCTCAACTGAAACTATCGGACTTGATCTGAATAATGACACTTTACAGCAGAAATAGAGTTATTGATCAACTTTACACTGTTATTGAACTGAAACTTTACATTGATATTGAAATGAAACTTTACACTGTTATAGAGTTATGGCAGGTGTTATGGCAGGTGTTATGGCAGGAGTTATGGCAGGTGTTGTGGCAGGTGTTGTGGCAGGTGTTATGGCAGGAGTTGTGGCAGGAATTGTGGCAGGTGTTGTGGCAGGAGTTATGGCAGGAGTTATGACAGGTGGAATGCAGGAGTTGTGGCAGGTGTTGTGGCAGGTATTGTGGCAGGAGTTATGGCAGGTGTTATGGCAGGAGTTATGACAGGTGTTATGGCAGGAGTTGTGGCAGGTGTTGTGGCAGGTGTTATGGCAGGTGTTATGGCAGGAGTTGTGGCAGGTGTTGTGGCAGGAGTTATGGCAGGAGTTATGACAGGTGGAATGCAGGAGTTGTGGCAGGTGTTGTGGCAGGTATTGTGGCAGGAGTTATGGCAGGAGTTATGGCAGGAGTTATGACAGGTGGAATGCAGGAGTTATGACAGGTGGAATGCAGGTATTGTGGCAGGTGTTATGGCAGGAGTTGTGGCAGGTGTTGTGGCAGGAGTTATGGCAGGAGTTATGGCAGGAGTTATGACAGGTGGAATGCAGGAGTTATGACAGGTGGAATGCAGGTATTGTGGCAGGTGTTATGGCAGGAGTTGTGGCAGGTGTTGTGGCAGGTATTGTGGCAGGAGTTATGGCAGGAGTTATTACAGGTGGAATGCAGAAGTTATGGCAGGAGTTGTGGCAGGTGTTATGGCAGGAGTTATGGCAGGAGTTATGACAGGTGGAATGCAGGAGTTGTGGTAGGTGTTGTGGCAGGTTTTGTGGCAGGAGTTATGGCAGGAGTTATGACAGGTGGAATGCAGGACTTATGACAGGTGGAATGCAGGTATTGTGGCAGGTGTTATGGCAGGAGTTGTGGCAGGTGTTGTGGCAGGTATTGTGGCAGGTGTTATGGCAGGAGTTATGGCAGGAGTTATGACAGGTGGAATGCAGGAGTTATGACAGGTGGAATGCAGGTATTGTGGCAGGTGTTATGGCAGGTGTTATGGCAGGTGTTATGACAGGAGTTGTGGCAGGAGTTGTGGCAGGTGGCATGTGTTGTGGCAGGTGTTATGGCAGGAGTTGTGGCAGGTATTGTGGCAGGTGTTGTGGCAGGTGTTGTGGCAGGAGTTGTGGCAGGTGTTATGGCAGGAGTTGTGGCAGGTATTGTGGCAGGTGTTATGGCAGGAGTTATGACAGGTGGAATGCAGGTATTGTGGCAGGTGTTATGGCAGGAGTTGTGGCAGGAGTTGTGGCAGGTGGCATGTGTTGTGGCAGGTGTTATGGCAGGAGTTGTGGCAGGTATTGTGGCAGGTGTTGTGGCAGGTGTTGTGGCAGGAGTTGTGGCAGGTGTTGTGGCAGATGGCAGGTGTTGTGGCAGGAGTTATGGCAGGAGTTATGACAGGTGGAATGCAGGAGTTATGGCAGGAGTTGTGGCAGGTGTTATGGCAGGAGTTATGGCAGGTGTTATGGCAGGTGTCATGGCAGGAGTTATTACAGGAGTTATGGCAAGTGTGTGTGTGTGTGTGTGTGTGTGTGTGCGCGCGCACATGTGTGTGAATGTGAGCGTGTGTGTGAGTGTGTGTATATGTGTTTGAGTGTTTTTACGAAGTGTTTTAGTTGGATGTTCGTCTAACGTTTTCAAGTGTTTCTACGTGTTTCAGAAACGTTCCCATAATGTTTGAAGTACAAAACAATGTTCGAGTAACGTTCATATAACCAAGAAAACCAACAGCCATGTTTCCATCCACATATTTCCATGTTCCTTTTGGGATATCGCATAATCCAAAACACTGGATAGAAATGCCTAGATCTGCATAAATTCTTAAAATACACATAAAAAAGAATGCTCTCCGAGTTGGAAACATGTTTTATCCGATAAGAAGACATGCACATAAACTACGAAAGAAACACTTCTACAGAATAAACCCCTCAAACCCTCATGTGAACGTCCGAGAACAAGACCGTGTTACTGTGTTTCGCCTGACGCTCGACACACACTCGTTCATGATGGAGGGAAAGAGCACGATTGCAGAAACTCAGTTAACTCAACGCAAGTGACGATTTGTTCTCTTGAACACATGCGATTGAAACGCTGCTTTATTCACAGATGTTTACTCTGATTTTAAGTTAAATTCAAACTTGGAATGGAAACACAGCTAATGTTAGAGCTGCAAAGTGATCAATTATGAAACATATTCACTTTCAGCTGTAAAGCAATAGACAATAGATTCATTATTCAGATCAAATCAGCTCAAGTTTTGTTCTCATCCCAGAGAGTCACACTGCTAAAAAGAATAATAGAACTGAATGTGTTTTAAAGCAGCACTCGAGATCAGACTCCCTCAGAGGAGATGAAAACGACGACAAGCTGTTCGGATCAAACACACTCCTGTGAAGTGTTCATCTCATGCTGATCTTCACCGATCTCTGAGGACTAAAGCTTCTCTCAAACGATTCGCTTTGAGCTTCGATGCAGGAATCTCTCAGAAGAGCTTAGAGAAACACGACGACGCTCAAGCTTCACGCATGTGTGCTTTCCGCTCACAAAAACACACATGCTGAGAAGTTTGCATGATGTTGTGTGTTATTTTATGCCTTAAAATACTCTTAAAACTCATCTTTGATCACCAAAAGAACATATTCAAATGTTTTCTCCTTGGGGGAAAAAACATGGCATAAACTATCTTGAATGTAACTCGACACCCTCGCCTCATTTAGTATTTGCGGTTCTATGAATATGCAAATGAGCCCCGCCTCCACTCACTCAGCTCAGAGATCCTCCCTAACCATTTTAATTTCATAAATGATGCACTTCACACAGTTATTGATCTGAACTGAATCCACACAGAACTGAATCTATCGGAATAATAACGTTTTACAGCTGAATCTGATTTTGTTTAGTTTATTCCTGTGAAGCTGCTGTGTACAACTCGATGATAAATCTATTTGCTGGATGATCAGGCATCAGAAGATCAACAGCTCTGGTGTGTGTGTGTGTGTGTGTGTGTGTGTGTGTGTGTGTGTGTGTGTGTGTGTGTGTGTGTGTGTGTGTGTGTGTGAGAGCACGAGGTCAAACTGGCGTGCGTAATCCCGTTAGTTGCGTAGCGGCATTAGCAGAGCTCTGTGAAGGGTTCTGCAGACCATTTCACAAGATGTAAACAACACTGGTCCAGAAGCACTTCCTGTTTCAGTTTGTAACTGTTTTCTTTATTTCACATGTAAAGAAAACATCTTAAAGATGTTTGTTTAACTTTTTGATTCAGTTTTAAATGTTCTGTTGGTTGTATTTTATCCCAGCTTTTATGTAGTGTTAAAAAACTGAAACAGGAAGTGCTTCTGGACCAGTGTTGTTTACATCTTGTGTAGTCAGATCCAGAACCATTACGCTCCACTCCCTCTGACAGCAGAACACACTCCAGAGCAGCTCCAGGCCTAACACAGGGATTTACTACAAAACTCACCCATATAATACAAGGCTTTTCACAGCAACAATTCCAAGTGTTGTTTTCTCATAAACGACAATCACCAGATGTTTAAACAGACGTAGTGATGAAAGCGCATGTGAACACACAGGTACAACACCGAACCGCACAGTTCACACGCACAGCGCTTCCTGGACACAAGCTCCGCCCCCTAAGCCGGGAGCAGCAGCATCATTTGCATTTAAAGGGACACACACACAAACGGTGTGTTTTTGCTCACACTCGAAAAGTGACAGTTTTAACACGCCATAAAACCACATATGTGGGGTATATATGAGCTAAAACTTCACAAAAGGGCATTATATCACCCCTTTGATTGGAAATTTATTTTCAGGTCTATGATCAAAGGTTATTGGAGCTGCTAACACACACACCTGGTGGAAGCTGAGGTCGTTGAGAGGAAGGCACACACACACACACACACACACCTGCTGGAAGCTGAGGCCGTTGAGAGGAAGGCACTGCTCCTCCACCTCCTCGACGGCGCCGGTCCGCTTCCTCATGCGCTGCGCCTCCTGCGCCAGGTACAGGTCCAGCACCGGCACGCCTCGGCTCTTCACCTCGGCCTCCGTCAGCGCGTTCACCATCAGCATGACCCACACGGGCCGCTTGCGCTCCCAGTTTCCGGCGATGGCGTTGAACAGGTACTCGGCGTACAGGCCCTGACCCCGCTGGCCCGGCGTGACCCAGGAGGGCAGCATGAGCCGCACGTACTCCAGGTGTGCCTTCAGCCGGCGGTACAGCTGATCCGGGATCAGGTCCTGCAGGATCTCGCCCGGCGGCAGCAGCTGGCAGGAGCTCAGGCCCGACACCGTGGACGGGTCCGTCAGGTCCAGCTCGAAGAACACCACGCCGCTCCGCTGGAACGCCTGCTTGGAGTTCTCCGGGATGAAGTCCCACACGCGCGTGTACGGGACGTGGATCGTGCCGTAGAAGAACGAGGGCGGCTCTCGCTTGATCGTCCACAGGAACGAGTTCAGATCGCTTTGCTGGCCAGAGAACAGACACTCGTCAGGACACGAGCTCATCACAGCAATGATCAATCAAAATCAGCCAGTAACACTTTACACGTGTTTATGACAACTGTCATTAAGTGGCATTCGCTCAATTATGACATTTGTAACGCAAATATGACATTGTTTGATTTGTCTTTGTTATGACAACTTGACATTACCAAGACAACACAATCTGTCATAAACATGACATAGCAGATTAATGATCAAACTTAAGAAACTTTAGCTTTATGGGTTAACGTTACATTAAACTGTCAGGTGGTTGGTTTTGACATCGGCTGTCATGAGGCCATTATAACAATTTAATGACAAATTCCGTTATAATGCCCTCATGACAGCCGATCGTGAGCTTAGAATTATAAGGTTCTATCTCCACTTTTGGTCGAAATTGAGTTTTTGGCGTAATCTGATCCATTAGGTGTTTATTAATGCCTGTGTGCTGTTATTTTTTGTAAAAAAAAAAAAAAAAAAAGATTAATAGATAAAGCTATAATAGAAGGTTATACTACATAACAGTTTTGCCAGCTGGGATGTAAAAACTTTGATGCTCAATATCTCAGAACGACCCTAAACGGAGATAGAACCTTATAATTTTAAGCTCACGCGATGTCAAAACCAACTACATCCACAGCTAATGTTAACCCATAAAGCTAAAGTTTCTTAAGTTTGATCATTAATCTGCTATGTCATGTTTATGACAGGTTGTGTTATCTAATGTCAAGTCATGACAAAGACACTGATGGGTTATGATGTATTGGTTTATGTCAAGCTGTCATAAAGACATCTCAAACAATGTCATATTTGCATTAAAAATGTCATAATTGAGCAAATGACACTTAATGACAGTTGTCATAAACATATGTCTTGTCATGATTATGAATGTGTCATGTCAGTCATATGCACACCCCTTCAAGTAAAGTGTTACCAATCATTTTAAACACAATTGAAATATCACACTAAAAATTAAATCATTAGAGCAAATAAAAAAATAAAAACATATCTAATATATCTATTTAAATCAAATTAATAATAAAAAACTCAAGTCGGCTTTATTTATACAGTGCTTTCCACAAAATATATTATATCAGAGCAGCTTTACAGAGATAATGGACAATAATGCAACAGTTCAAGCTCAAGTCAGATCTGTGACGGTTCATTTTTGTTGTAAAAAAGTTATTCATTTAGTTCATTTAAACTCAATAAAATACTGTTCAACATGATCAGTTCTGCTGATTCATAATTCTGTGGAAACGGTTACGTTTTATTTCTCAGGATTCTTTGATGGAAAAAAAAGTTCAAAAGAACAGCATTTATTTGAAATACAATCTTTTGTAACATTATAAATGTCTTTACTGTCACTTTTGAGCAATTAAATGCGTCCTTCATGAATAAAAGTTTTAAATTCTTTAAAATAAATCTAACTGACCACAAGCTATAGTGTAAATACATCCATACATATATCATATAATATAATATTACAATAATTTGAATATTATAAAAGTAGATTTTTTTAAGTCTCTTTTGCTCATTTATTTAGATAACAGCTGTTTTCTACACAGTAAAGTGCAATTTATTCCTGTGATCAGAGTGACTGTGATCTGGATGTTTAGTCACAATGTCTTCAATAGACATTTAATATTAATGAGTTCAACACCGGATGGCGATGCACTTTAAACTTCCACATTCTCGCTCTTTTCTGTCTGACTGCAGAAACTAAAAGCCTGTTGAATAAAGTTACAAACTCGAGAGAAAAACTCAATAAAGCAGCAGAAGTTTTGAGTCTGAATCTCAATGAAGCGAGAGCGATATCTCTGATCCTGTGTGAGGAGACGAGGAACATGGAGCACAAACATCTTGCATGACATGAACTGATTGAATGTTAAATGTTTAATATTAAACAAGTATATTAATATGTTTCCTTTAACTGTTCATGATCTGCATAATAAATGTATAATCTCTCATATGTTCTCAGTGTAAACACTTACTCTGGTGTGAGTCTCGCAGTCGCCGGAGTCTCTGAGGTGGAGCTGGCCACATCTCACCATCATCATCATCAGACAGCTCTGCAGAAGAGCGCTCAAACTAACCTTCATCATCATCCTCATCCTCATCACCATCACTCGCTCACAGTAACGCGCGCGACGGACGGAGGCCGGGCTGTGCTCCTCATCCCGGAGGAGACCCGATCACCCATCAACAGCCGAGGAGGACCTCCGCAGATCCATGAGGAGGAGACCAGCCTGTCACACACTCATGAGCCCGTGAGAAGCGCGCCTGGGTATCCCTTACACACACACAACTCTATAAAGTTTGTAGTTTAGAAGATCCTCTTTGATTTTCTCCTCAAACTCGCCGAATGACGCGCGTCAGTAAAACTCCTCCGCGGGTTCTGTCGCTCACTGAGCTCTCTCTCTCTCTCTCTCTCTCTCTCTCTCTCTCTCTCTCTCTCTCTCTCTCTCTCTCTCTCTCTCTCTCTCTGTGTGTGTGTGTGTGTGGCTTTACCTTCCCCCAGCCCCTCACTCTCCCCCACACAGGGTAAATAATGTGATTTGAGCATCTCGGACCCCCGCGGGAGCGCGCGACACACACAGCGAGTGCTGCGAGTCAAAACGCACGCGCGCGCGGCTCATGAATCTGCCACACACGCACACACACACTCACATCTAGTTTGATCAGTGACTTCAGACGGATCTGAATTCTGAACCTGTGCAAGATAACTTTTTGTTTAGCACATTTTCGCATATAGTATATTGATGAACTTGTTTCCTCTGAGGACTGATGTTCATCATCATGACGAGTCAGGCTTTATTTATACAGCGCTTATACAGTACAGAGTGTTTCAGAGCAGCTTCACAGAGATAACAGGTGTGTGTCCAGAAGAGAATAGCGTCACAGTCCGGCTTAAGTCAGTTCAGTGACACTTAGTTGCACTCGAGTTGTTCTCACTTCGGCGGACACTGTAAAAAAAATATTGATGGTTTAACTTAAAAAAAGTAAGTAACCTGGTTGCCTTAAAATTTTAAGTTGATTAAACTGGAAAAAGTGAGTTAATACAATGAAGTAGATTAATTTAACCATCAGAAACTCAAACTAATAAGTTAGCTCAACTAAATAAATTTTTATAAAGTTGATTTGACAAAAGAAAATATGTTTGAAAATATTTTTTACAGTGTAGGCTATAACATTACATCATGTCAGGTTGCGCTGGGTTGTGTGTTACTGGCGCACTTTGGACTCAGTGTCTTAATATCAACAAGTATCTTCAGGCGTTTTGCTTCTCCAGTAAATGTATGATTGCCACTGTTAGACTGTGGTTTTGCAATGCTTAGTTTGTTCTCACACTATTAATGGTGACAATATTCCCTTAATAAACCCTCGATGGCATGAAGGACACCGCAGTGTTTGAGCATCCTCATCCTCTTCCTCAGTGAAGCCCTCGTCTGCAGTGCACTGAGAGGTCACAGCTCCCTCCTGTGGCGGTTATCAAATATGCACAATAATAACTCCAGACATGTTTGGAATAGTTCATACTGACGTCCGTCCTGAGAGCGTTCATCTGACGTGTGAGTTCAGAATAAACTCTTGTTTGGACACGTGCACACTCTCAAAATGGAGATGAACACTCGACTCGAAAGTGTTCTGTTTTGGGTGTGTTAGTGCCTTTCTGTAAATCTGTAGAGGAACCTTGATGTCCAATTAGAATTCTTAGTAATTTAACAGATTCATTCAGTGGTTTCTTCCATTTAAGATCAATAGCAAAGATGAAACCGTTCTTGTCCTCCATTATTCATGCTTTTTATTTCTGTACGACTAAATTATTGTAGCTTTATGTGTGTGTGTTAGCCAAGTTAACCCGTCTACAACTGGATCTAAATGCATCTGCTAGACTTCTAAGAGGGACTCGTGAACAGAAGCATGCGCAGATTTGAGCCGCACTTCACTGGTTGCCTGTGCAGATCACAACTTATTTTAAATGATTGTTTTTTGTTGTAAGGATTCTCAGGATTAGCTCAGATACAGGGAATATAATTTTAATAACTAAACATGATCGGGAATCACCTACAAATTCTTAAAATACTTGTATATAAGTTGCCAATGTTCTTTATGAAAGAACCAGGAAGTGTCTCAGTCTCAGTCTCCGTCTCAGTCTCCGTCTCAGTCTCTCAGTCTCCGTCTCAGTCTCTCAGTCTCCGTCTCAGTCTCTCAGTCTCCGTCTCTCCGTCTCTCAGTCTCTCAGTCTCTCAGTCTCAGTCTCAGTCTCTCAGTCTCCGTCTCTCCGTCTCCGTCTCTCAGTCTCAGTCTCTCAGTCTCAGTCTCTCAGTCTCCGTCTCTCCGTCTCCGTCTCTCAGTCTCAGTCTCAGTCTCTCAGTCTCTCAGTCTCAGTCTCTCAGTCTCCGTCTCTCCGTCTCCGTCTCTCAGTCTCAGTCTCTCAGTCTCCGTCTCTCCGTCTCAGTCTCTCAGTCTCAGTCTCTCAGTCTCCGTCTCTCCGTCTCCGTCTCCGTCTCCGTCTCTCAGTCTCAGTCTCTCAGTCTCAGTCTCCGTCTCTCAGTCTCAGTCTCCGTCTCAGTCTCTCAGTCTCCGTCTCAGTCTCTCAGTCTCAGTCTTCGTCTCAGTCTTAGTCTCAGTCTCTCAGTCTCAGTCTCTCAGTCTCAGTCTCAGTCTCCGTCTCCGTCTCCGTCTCCGTCTCAGTCTCAGTCTTCGTCTCAGTCTCTCAGTCTCTCAGTCTCTCAGTCTCCGTCTCAGTCTCAGTCTCAGTCTTAGTCTCCATCTCAGTCTCAGTCTCAGTCTCTATCTCTATCTCCGTCTCAGTCTCAGTCTCAGTCAGATATGAAGGATATTTCCAGAAGATCTTGATGCCTGAATCTCTCTGGATATGAAGGATATTTCCAGAAGTTCTTGATGCCTGAATCTCTCCATATTTGACAAATATTTCCAGAAGTTCTTGATGCCTGAATCTCTCCATATTTGACAAATATTTCCAGAAGTTCTTGATGCCTGAATCTCTCTGGATATGAAGGATATTTCCAGAAGTTCTTGATGCCTGAATCTCTCCATATTTGACAAATATTTCCAGAAGTTCTTGATGCCTGAATCTCTCTGGATATGAAGGATATTTCCAGAAGATCTTGATGCCTGAATCTCTCCAGATTTGAAGGATATTTTCAGAAGATCTTGATGCCTGAATCTCTCTGGATATGAAGGATATTTCCAGAAGTTCTTGATGCCTGAATCTCTCTGGATGTCCTGCAGGGGGAGTCAATGTTTTGCGCTTGTGTCTCTCATTCGCTCTCATTCTCTTCCACCAGTCAGAAGGGCTCAAAGCACAATGTTTTCATTGTGTCGAAGAGACTGAATCTTTCCGATTATGAAAGTGCTCTGTGCGGCTCAGGGGCTTTTATTGATTCCTCTGTCAACAAGCTTTTCTAAGCGTTCATGACCTACATCTGTCTCTCGCCACTAGCTTTCCTGCTATTAATCACACTTCACTCGCTGAGACTGTGTTTCGCTGTAACCATGGTTATCCTGCTCCGCTTTCCAGCCCACGACAGGTGAGTATTTGAGAAAACTCCTTTAAGACCCTGCTGCTCTGATACCTGAGACTTAATTAAAGTCCCTATCAAATCAAAACAGACAATTAAAAAAATAAAGAAATATGGAATGTTGATCTGAATGATTTATGAGTGCACATCATTATTGTGTTAATAATCAGAATCAGAATCAGTTCCTCTTGCAGCATCTCTGCTCTCCTCTAAGGATGTGGGCGGGGCAACCTGTCACTCACATGAGATCAGCCAATAGCAAACCACAACCATCCAATCAATTACAGACACAATCAAGCCCCGCCCATATTTGTTCTTGTTCCAGAACCTCTCAAATGGGTTTTTACAGTGTTTGGAGCTTCTCGTAAACAGTGGTTGATTTTTCTTTAAGCTGCAGGTACTTTTACCATGGTAAATTCAGTGCAGTGCATGACCTCATGTGGCTTATTACATTCTTCTCCATATAAAAAGAATAGAGAAAAGTTTGATCTCGAAAGTCATACTCACTTTTTACTTCCCTTTCTTTGAAAAGTTAGTCTTGTTATTATCTTGTTTGTTGCTGGTTAAAGTGTCACTGCACTTCTGCACTCAACAGGGGGCGCTGTTGATTTACCACAGTTAGGGTTAGGGTGCCACACACACACACACACTCTCTCTCTCTCTCTCACACACACACACACACACACACTCTCACACACACAGACACACACCGCATCCATCTGAACTAAAGGACATTCATATATATGCAAATATGTGTGTATACCTTTGCCCTCGTAACTAGTACAACAACCGTGTTAGGAACAGATCTATATAGAGTGTTATTTGCTAAAGATCATTTCGGAGGCCATGTCATCTAATAATGTGCCTCCTGCTAATTAAAATGCATATGTGTGTGTGGTGACGCTGGACAGAACACTTAATATTCACTCCAGCGTATTCACGATGTCAACATTAATCGCCCATCCATAATGGAGTGTGCTGCAAAACGGCGCTCAGTGACACGAGAGGATTAAGACGGAGCCAAATTAAACCCTGGACAGTAAAACGTGCGTGACATTGTACAGGGAAAGCACCATCTCATCCACTAAATATAAAACATTAATCACCCCCAAGATGAATTTCAAACAGCAGCTCATGAGTTTATGCGATCCAAATGGTCCATCTTTTAATGAAAATGCATGCACATTTAAATAAAAATGACCCAGCGCTGCCGTGCAAACTAAAGTCAGCAGTTGCTGTGCAGTGAACAGCTGTTACTAGATCACCACTGACTTTGACTACTGGATTGTTTGAAATTATTATTGTCTATTTCAGGCTTTTCTCGGTTGTTGTTGTTGTCGTTTTCCCCTGCTTATTTTGGCTATTCTGCATGTGGAAAGCATCTCAAAACATGCTAAAATAGCTCAGTTTGTCTTTGTGTATGTTCAGATTCTTCCAAAAGTGAGTTGTGCATTATGATTGCCAACAGATTACAAGCGTAGCAGGCAGGAAATTAATCAGGCCGCCTGATATCAAATTATGTGCCGTATCGCAGCGTGCCAGACATGATGGGTGAGCAGAGTACTCCCACTCACTGGATTTTTTGTCTCTCTCTGGCCCTTACTGGAACTCACTGGTACTTACTGGCACTCACTGGCCATCACTGGATGTCTGGCACTCACTGAATGTCTGGCACTCACTGACTTTCACTGGATGTCTGGCCCTCACTGGATGTTTGGCACTCACTGGCACTCACTGGCCCTCACTGGATGACTGGCACTCACTGGCTCCCACTGGATGTTTGGCATTCACTGGATGTCTGGCACTCACTGGCTCTCACTGGATGTCTGGCCCTCACTGGATGTTTGGCACTCACTGGCAC